TAATGGACACAGCCTCATTGTTTCCCACAGAGCTGCTAGTAGGTTTGAACTGCCAACCTTGCAGCCCAGTGCCTAACCTACAGCCATCAAGGCTCCACTGTAATAAAGAATGATTATAATGAAAACCACAGATATTGTTTATATATCCAGTACTTCAGCTTATGTCAGAACCACCTTAGGACGGAGTTGTTGGAATAGAATCTGTCATTCCCTGGTGGCGCAGTGCTTACTCTTTGGGCTACTCACCACAGGGTCAGCAGTTAGAAACCACTCCTTGGAAGAAAAATGAGGCTTTCTACTCCCACAAAGAATTAGAGTCTCAGAAACCGTTGCTTCTACTCTTTCCTGTAGGGTCACTATGAGTTGACATTGATTCAATGGCATTGAATTTAGTATTTTTTTGACCCTGTACTTTTTAAGGGGTGTAATTTATTGAATCTGCCTTTAGAAATGTACTCTGTTGAGTATGTCTTTGAAACACACGCTTTAGATTTGCCTATCGTTTTGGTTTTTCTGACATTGCTATGTTTGGTTGCTAATCGCAAAGTCAGCAGTTCAAGCCTACCCGATACTCTGCTGGAGAGAGTGAGACCATGTGTTCCCAGGAAAGTTGACAGCCTCGGACACAATGTAGGTGGCAGTGAGTCAGAACCATGCAATGGTGGTGGGTTGGTTTGATGTGGCTTGGTTATTCTGCTGTGGAGGTCACGTTTTTGAAACTTTTTATCAGCAGGATGCTATTTTAAAGTCTTTTTTCTAATACCCCCCTCTGTATTATATGCTCTCTTTACGTCACAAAGTGGTGACTCTATAGCTGCTCCAGTTAAAACTCACTTTAAGTCGTGTTACACTGGCCTCAGATGTGCATTGAAGTTGCATTATGCGTATCTCACCTCATCAGACAATGGCCAGATCTTTCTACTGGAGGCAGATAGGGAATTTCAGACCCATTAGATTAATTGTTCTTTGCCAAAACATCCAGTTTTCTGTTTTACCCATTAATCTGTAAATAATGTCTTAATGTTTCCTGTTAGTTGAATTTTAATGGGTCATTTGTATGTTGCATCTTCCCCTTGTTTGTGTCCTCAGTTTTGTTCCGTTTGAACTTAACACCGTTTCCTACTTAGCCAACCAATCCAGCTTTATTTTAATAGCCTGAAGACGGTGTTTTGTTTTCTCATGCTCAATGACTAGTTTTGTCAGGAAATGGCTTTGACAAAATGGCCTCATTTCTTTGGAGAGCCCTTAAATGCAAAGATTCTCCTGAGAGTGTGATATGAGGTAAATATGAGCACTATAATCCTAAGTGCACAGGCTCATGCTCCAAAGTATACCAGGAGTCCTGGTGGACCATGGTTAAAGGTCAGCAGTTGGAACCTTCCGCCTGCTTTGAAAGAGACAGCTGTGGCAGTCTGCTTCTGCAAAGACAACAGCCTCAGAGCCCCCATGGGGCAGCTCTACTGAGCCCCATAAGGTCACGGTGAATCAAAATTGACTTTATGCAATGGGTCTCTGATCATAGAGCACAGCAGAAAGACACGGATCAGAAAAATCACAAGTGTAAGTTTCACTTTTAATTTTGTCCATAACTGTCCATGAGTCCTTAATAATTATCTAATAAATTTATTGCCTCCGCATCTACAAAATGGGGATGCCATGATGTTAAGAACGATGTATTAAGACATCCACTCCAACCTGACAAAACCAGGCTGGCATCATTGTCTCATATGGCCATTGCTGTCGCTAAGAGTTTTCCCAGTGCAGACGCGCATTTGAATTATGCACAACCAGCTTTGTACCAGTGGTGAAGCTGGAAAAGACTAGTTTCTTAGATATGTGAGAAGGTGGAAAATGTGGTGAATTTGCCCAGTCGTTTAGCATTAGTAAAAAGACAGTTTTGGCAGAATAATTGCTTTTTCCATCCTTGAATATACTGTCTTCCTTTCCACCGTAACTATGGAGGTAAGACGTCATATGTTTAAAATCGTTTAACCTAAAGAGGGAAAAAAAGAGAAAGAAATCTCACCTTCAAAACAAATAAACAAACTCTGGAGGAGCCTGCAGGCATTTGGATTGAACATTTCACTGTCCCAAGAATTGTAAACACCTTAAGACCTCGGGGAGCCATGCCCATGAGCTCACTGAGACTTTGGCTTCCTGTATCTCATACCATGCACCTGAGGGAGTTCTTGGAGCGGGGGCAGATGCGATCACTTCTGTGGATTTTCCCAGAGTGGCTCCAGCGCTACAGCTGACTGTCTCCACTGATAACAGCCGTGAGCGAGTCCTTGCGAGGTCTTCTTGGCCGTGGAAAGGATGCGTTGGCACTTGGCCTGTTGAGCTTATCTCCATTTACATCCCATCCCACAGTTACTGCTCTTCCCCTTTTACTGGTGTGACTCAGTGTCCTAAAGATGCCTCCCACCTCACCAGGGACCACTGAGTCAGCAATGTCTCACAGTGACCCCATGTGTGTCAGAGAAAACTGTGCCCCTGAGGATTTTCACGGACTGATTTTCTGGAAGTTGATTACCAGGTCTTTGTTCCAAGGTACATCAAGGTAGATTTGAACTAGCAACCAAGTGAGTTCATCTCTTGCACCATCCCGAGAGGCCACCTTCTCCTCCATCTTTATAAATTCAGTTAAATTTAGTCCATTGAGCATACACAATAGTACAGACATTAGGTCACACCCTAAGCGATACTTGGAACTTATTAATCCTTGGTCAATCATGGCCGAGGATGCAAAATCAGAACTGACGTGAGTTTGTGAAATATGGCTATCCCAGAAAAATAACTGGGAAAGGAAAAAAAAACATCATCTCCCTCGTCGAAAACAGGCAGTGTGCACGGTACATCGCAACCAAGTTTCTTGACTGACAGGGTTGGAAACCACGGAGCCCCACTCTGATGGTGACAAACCACGCCATTTTGAATGTGTGTCACTCCCCACGGTCCTGACAACAATCCAATCTCCTCAGCAGGCTCCTACTCCAGGGCTTTCACGCCCAAGTTTTCCCCAGTCTCAGGATCATTCTGGTTCACGCAGTTTGAAGCAATGGTGGCCGTAACCTTCTGAGCCGATCTTTCTGCTTTGCTTGTGTTTGAGGTCTTTGCACTCTTTCTTAAAACATTGGGTCCAGCGGAAGAGCGGCGTTTTAGGAGGGGCAGTGGGGAAATGATGGGGGCCCGTGACGGACCTCCACCGGAGGACTAGTGGGAGGGAGAATCCAGCACCACACCAGCACAAGGTCGATCTTCACAAGGCAGAGGTCAAAGCTGCCTGCACCCTCCATCTTTCTTTCCCCTGTTCTGACTCAAGATGCCCATTCCACAACACGCCACTCCCCTGCTGGGCTTGATCGTCCTCTGCACGGACCACACACAACTCACCATTGTGGGCTTGACTAGGGAATCGGATGGAAAGGAAACAGTCTTTTCCCACCAGGCTTCTTCTCAGCCAGGCTGGCAGGCAAGTCGCTCTCTCGTCTTGGGAAATTTCTTTTACTGTCACCACGAGGCCCCTGCTCATGCTTCTAGGACAGGAAGAGGTGTTCTAGGAGACCTTCTGTGGTAAACCGTACCCCATCCAGCCTACAGCCTTGATCTTGCCCCTTCGGACTTCGTTTGTTTCTCACACACAAAGATTACGAAGAGGGAGCCGTTTTGATGTGGCGACAGTGGAAGAGCTCCAGGTTCTGAAGGGGAGGCTTCGAGAGGAGAAGAGACCACCTTTCAAAGTGTGTAGGTCTCAGTGGAGCGTACGAGCGAAATCCCCCCTTCAAAAGAATGGAGGTTTTTTCGAAAGCTATGAATTAAATTTTTTTTTTTTAACAAAACAACCTTCTCACCTTCAAAGTACTCTCTACTACACTTAATACATTTGTCAAATCTGCAATTCCATTCTTGGAAACATTTTTCAAAATCATCTGTTTGGATGGCTGACAGCACCTCCCTCCTTTTGTCCTTCACCTCTTCTACTTCGTCAAATCACTGTCCTATCATGTCCCTCTGCATTTACGGAAACTAAAAAGTCATGCAGCACAAGGTCGGTGAGTCAGGTGCATGGGGCAAGAGAGGCATGCTGGTTTTTGCCCAAAACTGGCACACTGAGATGGCTGCGTGAGCTGGTGCATTGTCGTGGTGGCAAAATAGTGCCTCATCTGTCACAAATCAGGGCTTTGTTGTCACAAAGTACTATGCAATCTTTTCAGAAACTCTTGAGTAGAAAGCTTGATGAACAGTCTGACCTGGTGGAAAAAATTCCAAATGCACTATGCGTCGACATTTTGGTCCCTTCGGGAAGCTGATGGACACCCAGAATGAGGTTTGTCATCCATCAACATTTCACCTTTTTTTGAAACGGAGAAACCCACTCATACACTTGAGTTTTTTCCCATAGTGCCGTCCTTGTAAGCTGTGTCCAACAGCACAACAGTTTCTGTAGCGTTTTTTTCTGAGCAGGAAACAAAAATTCACAGCCGAATGAGTTAAATCAGACAGCACAAAAAAACAATGTTCAAGAGTGTTTCCAAAAAAATTCACAGACCACAGAGAACCTTCCCAGGTGAAGCTACTGGGTGCACTCACTCAGAGTTTGTTGTTTGAGGCTTACCTAGCGGGAAAAACTCGTAGTACAAAAGCTCCCCCCACCAGAGCCTTTTTCTGTTGTTGTTTTGTGTGTGTGTGTGTGAGAGAGAGAGAGAGAGAGAGTGATGGAGTGGGGGGAGGTACCCCTTGTATGTCAGAAAACAGCATCTTCACATTTGGTGTATTAGTTTACTGCAGATGTGATGATTTTGTAGCAATATTCTCTACTAACCCTCATAATACATGTCTACATAGCATTATGTATAATTAGGAAATAAATCGAGTTTGTCTTTCATGCCAAAGCTGTCCCCCATAATCATATTACTGATTCCTGATTTTTTTAAGAAAAAAAAAAGCATAAATGTAGGGTTATTTTTAATTTTTATCTTCCATTTTTATTTTTTACCTAGGATGCTGGAGAAATGGTCCGTTCCTTCGTTGGTGGTTTGGAACTTGTTGTCAATTTACTGAAATCCGAAAACAAAGAAGTATTGGCGAGTGTTTGTGCTGCTATTACCAATATTGCCAAAGATCAAGAAAATTTAGCTGTTATTACAGATCATGGAGTTGTCCCTTTGTTGTCTAAACTAGCAAATACGGTAAGTAACACATCTTTTAAAAATAACATAAGTGCCATTAAACAATGGCATCGCTTAGTGGCAAAACCAGTGAGTTTAAGGTCAGGCTACTACGTTTAATATTCATCACATTTGAGTCTTGTGGTTTGGGTCAGCTCATTTAGTTTCTCTGAGGGTGGTTCAAACCTACTAGCCACTCCATTTGAGAAAGATGCAGCCCTCTACTCCCATCCAGATGTTATAGCCTCAGAAACCCTCGATGGGGTGCTACGGGGTGGGATAGATCAATTCACTGCCTGGGGATTTGGTATTTGGGGGCTTGGTAATAGATGCAAAAATATTTTTAAAATTTTAAGTATTAATATATAAGATCTTTGTGGGGAGGGGGGAAAGGCTGTTTCTGTTTGCCTCAGGCAACTAAAACAGTGGCAAGTATAAATACTCTAAGATGTTAATTCTCATCTACCCCATCAGGACTCTGCCCCCCTCCCCACAGCTCCCTCATCTTTACCCCCATCATCACTATTATTATCCTTAAAATGCTTGCTTATGCCAACATTGTACGTTAAATCTGCCTCCCCCAGCTCAACAAGCCTGGGCCAATGGCATTCTCGAGCTGGAAGACTTTGGCAAGCACTGTCTTGTTTATCTATGGCTTTGCCAGATGAAATAAGCAGGCCTCAGAGACAACGACTTCACCGTGATCAGAAGTAGATGTACTTGAGTAGTGCTTGGACTACCACTTGGAACAAATGTTGTAGATCAGAAATCCAAACACTGGAAGGCTGCTTGGTCTAAAAGACCTTTGGGAGGCCAGTACTGAGCTCCTAAGAGACCTGCCAGTTGTACTTAGGGACGCCAAGTTGGACTGTTATATTGTTCAAGAGAATGGCATACTTAAAGAGAAAATCAGATCCTGTTCAGTGGTGTGAAAGGAGCGCTGGCGGCAGCGTGGTTACCTATTGCGTGGCTAACCACAAGGTCAGCAGTTAAGAAACACTAGCGACTGCGCAGGAGACCGATGAGGCTTTCTACTCCCTATCGCACATCTGCCTGACCTCCCAGCGCCGCTACAATACCTTTTCCGCACCTTGTTCTCCTCTGCGCAGAATAACGATAAGCTGAGGCGTCACCTGGCAGAAGCTATCTCACGTTGCTGCATGTGGGGCAGGAACAGAGTGGCCTTTGGCGAGCACAAAGCGGTGGCTCCACTCGTGCGGTACCTGAAGTCAGAGGACACCAGCGTGCACCGAGCCACGGCCCAGGCCCTGTACCAGCTTTCCGAGGACGCCGATAACTGCATCACCATGCACGAGAACGGCGCTGTCAAGGTACGGTGTGATGGCTGCGTGGTTCACCTCACGCCGGATACGTGTGGGCCGGAAACGGTTTCATTTCAGAGAGTACTTAGGCGAGCCAAGTTCTCATGGCTCTGGCACAGAGAAGTTAAACGGAGATGGGCTTTTTCTAAGGCCCAAGAGCATGACATGTGTCCCGTGAAAATGTAAGTCGTCGTTCTGGAATTTGAAGTGATTAAAGCAGGTGCACAGAGCAGGAACGACCACTAGTGGTTCGCATGTAAGTAATGTTGGATGGTCAGATCCAGATGTCGTTTGAGTTTGGTGCCGTCAGGTCGGTGTTGACTCAGAGTGACCTGTGTGACAAAGAGGATCGTTTCCATAGGGCTTCCAGTGTGGTGATGTTGAAGGGGCAGGTCTTCAGGTCTTTCTCTTGGAGGACCAGGTGGGTGAGTTCAAACCTGCAACCTTTTGGTTAGCAATAACATGGGCATAGATAACATGTCAATAAGAGCAGCACTAACTGAGGAACGGGCTGTCAACTGGACTTACCATTCAATGCAACCCTACCCTACCCAACCCTGCCCTGCCCTGCCCATCCCTGCCCTGCCCTGCCCTGCCCATCCATTGCCATCAAATCAATTTCAACCTAATAGCAACCCTTTTTTCTTTGGAGCTGCTGGTGGATTTGAACTGGTATCTTTTCATTAACAGTCCAGTGCTTACCAAACAGCATCACCAAGGTTCCTGTCAACAGGACAACAAAGGACCAATTCAAAGACAAGATTTGTTTTTTATCTGACTGTGTCACACCTTCTGTGCCTTTACCCAACACCGAGGAGTCACTGGGTGGCACAAATTGTTTACTGAAAACTTGGCAATTCAAATTCTCACACACACACACACACACACACACACACACACACACGTACGTGCCTTGGAAGGAAGGCCTGGTATCTACTCTGGGAAAATCAACTAACCCCTGTGGAGGACACTGCTACTCAGGCCCACCTGGTGGCCAGGCGTCTGCATCGACTCTGTGACAGCAAGTTACACAACAGACGGTTAGGAGAGTTCTGCACATGAACTTTAATATAACGACATGCCCGAAATCACCTAGCGCTTCCGAATTCACTATTTTAATGATAATAAACAGGAAAAGTATGTGCACTGAATTGGCAGCTTGCATGTAGTAGGAAATAAAGATTTAAAATACTGGTTCTTTTCTAGAGGTTGTTTTCTTGTACAATATTATTTTTCTGCTTATTTCCCCCAAGTGGAGCCTATGACAATCAGATGTCTTTATATTTTGAAATGTATGCCCCAAAGGAGCTTTGGTGGCACTGACTGGCTGCTGATGGACTGCCAACCGTACGATTTTGACTCAGAGTGACCTGTGTGACAAAGGTTCAAGCCCACCAGCTGCCCTACTTGAGAAAGATGAGGCTCTCTGCTGCCATACAGATTTATAGTCTTGGAAACCTAGGCAGTGTTTCCCAAAATAGGCACTTCCGCTCCCTGGGGACACTGGACACTGCAACGGCAGATACCTACCTTTATCCCGGATTGTGGGCTGTGTGCATCCGTTTTTCACTGCCAGGAGGGCACTGAGTGGTTTTTCTTTTTTGCAGAGAAGAGGCGGTAGGCCAGATAAGTTTGGTCATCCATGCGTTGTAGGGGTCGCTGTGAGTCAGAGTCACCTTGGTGGTGGTGAGCTCTGTGGTATGGCAAAGTTGATTTCATCTTCCAGACAAAGCTATTGAAATCTCCATTTCGTCAGTTCTAGTCAAATCTAGATGTGGCCAACATATGAAACATCTCAAGATTAAGAAGTTCAAAGTTCCAGTGTTATCTTGGGGTGACTATTTTAATTTCTCTTTCAAATCTATTACAGTTGAAGAATATGGTGTAAATTTTTCCGAAATTAAACCCAATTTACATGTAAATGTGCCAACTTCTCCATTATAAGTCTATTTTAATGACATGTAAATTAAGCCAAATTAATTCTTGCAAGTAAAAATCTGGCATTAAAAATACCTCTTATAGGAAGTGCCAATTTTTAAAGGTAAACTATTAAAAATATATCAGAATGTTGAGTTCAAATTGGTAAAGATTGAAGAAAAGTGATGTTGCTTTGACATGAATATCTTATATTTCAAGAAAGAATAGATTCTTTAGATAAAATTGCATTCTACAACAGAGCAAGGACTTGCACACCCTAATATGGTCTACAGTATGTAGTCCTAAAACAATAAAGCTGTAAAGATTAAGTAGCCTAGTAAATTGTCTGACACATAACATATGCTAAGAAAATTGCCCAGCTGGTTTAGAAAGATAATTTTTTTTTACGGGGGTGGGGGTGGGGTGTGTGTGTGTGTGTGTGTGTGTGTGTGTGTGTGTAGAAAGATAATTTATAGACTACTCAAACATTTTATTTATCTAAAATGTACTAAAGTACCTGTGTTTTGGTTCATTTGACCTATATGCCACATGTATATTCAACTCTTAATTCTTTCATCTAATGAGAGTTGGTGGATCATCTGAAATCATTTGTGAATTGGATTCTGAAGTGTAAAATGTTCCAACTGTGTTCCAATCCACCCACATCTTGTATCTGTGTTTGAACAAGGAGGCATTGAAAAGGGTGAATGTGAAACATGGGAGGAAGGAGAAAGGACTCCCCCCTAGAGGCTGAGGTGGTTCAGAGGTAGAATTCTTGCCTCCATGCAAGAGACCAAGGTTCGATTCTCAGCCAGAGCACCTTGTGCACAGTCAACCACACCTCTGCCCGTGGAGGCTTGCTTGTTGCTATGATACTGAACAGATTTCAGTGGGACTTGTGGACCAAGAGAGGCTAGGAAGTAAAGCCTGGCAATCTACTTCTGAAAAATCAGCCCATGAGAACCCTTTTGATCCTACCAGTCTGGTCCTGGGGTAATGTAAGAGTGGGCAGCGTCTCTTGTAGGGCATGAGTCTTTTCCAACTCCAAAGCAAGGAACAACAGACTCTTCCCAGAGTTCCCCTGTGTCTCAAGCATAGATAAGTTTTTAAAAAATGGATTTTTATGTGTGTGTGTGTGTGTGTAAATTAATTTACCAAAATATAGAGTTGGGTGTTACCTTGATGCTTGCAGTAAAAGTGAAATTATTTGGCATGGCTCTTCTGCCCACTGTCTTTGAAAATCCCCCAGATGACTGAACAGGAACATTCAAATTAGGTGCATGGGACGAAGGTGAGGGGATTGAGCAGTTTTGTCATTCCACTGGGTACAAAGTGGGCCATCTCTGAAGCAGAAACAGGGAAGCTCAAGACCCCCAAGAAGGAAGAGACACAGGATTGGAGCATGGTGAGGCCCCTCTGTGGAGAAGTGGTTGTGGCAGCAGAAGGAAAAGGGGTGGGCTTCCCAGCCCATGAAATGAGTGAAGCCAAGTACCTTCGGGCAGAAGGCTGGCTTGCAGAATGGGGTGCCCTTTGGACATTTATCAGCGTTAAGGACTTTGTATCATGCCAAGGGGCCATGTGGCTGAGAGGTCAAATCCAGAGACAGACATCTCAGACAGCATGACTAAGCAGAGGCAGTGCAAACAAAAGAATTACATCCTTCATGTTTTCTGATCCTGACTTGTTCTAACCTATTTGCTTCCATAATAAACACCCCAAATCATGACTATTGTGGTTTCTGTGTGGCCATTTCAATGGATGATCAAAGCCAGAAAAGAGGTAGAGTGCCATGTGGGAGGGGTGGTTGGTATCAGAACAGGATAAGGGGGATTGGATAGTGGGGGCATGTCTGACCTCGGCTTCATAGAAATCCTTCTTGGGTAGATGCGAAGTTGGATCCTCCTTTCCCTGTGTTGCTAAAAGAGGTCAGGCATGGTCTCCACATCATTTCCTTTGGGATTTATTATCACACATGTACTACATGGAGGCCAGTCTTCATTCTTCCTGCCCTCTCTTCTGAGCCTGAGCGAGGAGGTGCATCTCCATAAGATGACGGGAGACCCTAAGTACCATTAGGAGAAGCCTGTGAGTCATCTTTTTGGAATGCCCAAGCGCATCCTCTAGTGATGGCAGGAGAAGCCTGTGTGCCATGAAGGAGGGAAAAGACAAGGCATACTGGGTGCTGGTAGGATAAATGGGAATTGTAACTTGCTTGGATATTGGGACTATGTCCACAATGACTCCAGTTTTCAGGCTCAGTGCAGAGGAAAATACTATTAACTGAGAAAATGCAGAGCAGTATTTAATGCTTTAAGAGCGGGCAGTATCCAGGCCCCTTTTCTGATCGGTATTGCGACATCTCTGGTCTTCCTTCTCACACCGTGGGGTCACCGTTACTCTCTGCTGTTCTCCGTCTCCGCTGATCCACAGCAACTCACATCAGGGTAGCTTTATTTTAGGGTGGCTAATTCATCTGCGCTTTTCTTCCCAAAGGGTTCTTAGGCTTCTCCTGCCATCCCAAGAAATGTTGGCTCTGCGAAACTGCCCTTCCTACCTCAGACTCAGGGGAGAGGGTGGAAGGGAGGAAGACCCCCACCTCCACATGGTACATTTGTGATGAGAAGTTCCCATGCAAGGAAAAGGCAGCATCAGGACTGGAGGAAGACCCAGTGGCATGCATTAGGCAGATGACACAACCTTGCTTGCTAAGCTGAAAGTCAAGAGAGCCGGAAACCCTTCGGGATGGAGATCCAGGACTAGAGCTGCCTGTATGGAAAGCACCGCAACATAAAGCGCACAAAGGTGCTCACAAGTGTTGCCAATAGACAACACATTTATCATGAGACAAAATGGAAACGGTCAAGTTCATTGTACTCCACAATCAACACGTATGGAAACAGCAGTCAGGAAATCGAGCGACGCATCACGTTGAACAAATCTGCAACCAGAGACCTCTTTAGGGTGTTCTAAAGCAAAGGACTAATTTTGAACACCAAGGTGCACCTGACCTGTTGTTGTTGTGGTTGTTGGGTACCACTGAGTCAGTTCCTACTCATAACAGCCCCATGCACAATTGAACAAAAAACTGCCCAGTGCTGCACCACCCTCACAACTGTTCCTGTGCTTGGGGCCATGGTGGCAGCCATGGTGTCCCTCCACCTCCTTGAGCTGCCCCTCTACTTGACCAAGCATGACGTCCTTCTCCTGGGACTGCTTTCTTTCTCCTGACAGGAACGTTCTAGCCGTACTTCTCCCAGGACAGATGTTTGTTCATTTGCCAGGCCATACTACTTTGTCCTTCACCACCATCATAATTTAAATGCATCTGTTCTTCCGTGGTCTTCCTTATTCAACATCCAACGTTCACGTGCATATGATGCCATGGAGAATACAGTGGCGTGGGTCAGGTGCACCTTAGTCCTCCAAGCAGCGTCCTTGCTCTTCAATCCTCTACAGAGGTCTGTGCAGCGGATTTATTTATCTTTTGATCTCTCGACTGCTGCTTCTACGAGCATCGATCATGGATCCAAGAGGACAAAATCCCTGGCAACTGTGAGGATTTGGGTCTTTTATTCATTGAGTTGTAATCTATACTGAAGACTGCAACACTCGATCTTCATCAGCAAGTGCTTCAAGTCCTCCTGACGATCAGCAAACAAGGCGGGGTCATCTGCAGATCACAGGCTATAAATGAACCTTTTTCCGATCCTGATGCCACATTCTTCTTCCGATAATCCAGCTGCTCTGATGATTGCTCAGTGCACAGACTGAATAAGGACGGTGAGAGGATACAACCCTGACACACACCTCTCCTGATTTCAAAACGTGCGGTATGGCTGTGTTCTGTTCCCACAACTGCCTCTTGATCTATGTACACTTTCCTAATGAGCACAATGAAGTGTTCTGGAATTTCTTATGTATCAAGGTGATCCATAAGAACATAATCCACACAGATGCCTTGCATCATGCCAGCCACACACAAGTCACCACACTAAGATAGACAGACACACAGACACGAACCAGAGTATTTCCAGTCACCTCATCTGTAGGTGAGAGCTGGACCAATGAATATGGAAGGTTGAAGAGAAATTAATGCATTTTAATTATGGGATGCACCAGAGACTGCCAGAAGGACAAACCAGTCTATCGGAAGACGTGCAACCAGAAGTACAACCTTAGAAGCAAGGTTGTTGAGACGTTGCTTCACGCTCGTTGGGCATGCTGACAGGATGGGTCCATCCCTGAAGAAGGACATCATGCTTGTTTTAAATTATAGGGTCAGCATGAAGAAGAAGACTATAAAGGAGATAGGCTGGCACCGCGACTGAACTAATGGGCTCCGGCATAGCAACAATTGACCAGGCGGGCTTTCATTGTGGGGCCCGTGGCATGCTGTGAGGTGGAACCAACTCGGAGGCACCTAAGAACAGCAGCAACACTTAGAAAAGCCCTTGGGTCAGCGGTTCTCAGCCTGTGGGTCGTGACCCTTTGGGGGTCGAACAG